GAGTCGGAACTGGTTTTACAGGAGGTTGGTGTCATCAACAGCAGTTCAGTATGAATGTAATGTAAGGACTGGTAAATTGGACTTTAAACGAGAAAAATTACCTGAATTTTCTAAAAAATTCCCTCTACTAGTAAATATGCGTTTAAATATACGCCAGAAAAGATATCTTTTATTTTCGGAGTCGTTTAAAGTGACTTGTTTACTGAGAACGAATACCAACAGTTGAGAAAAGATTTTAAATGGTTTTGAAACCTTCAAAAATATTCCGGGTGCTTTTAAGAAACACTTCCTACACAAGCAATAAAAATTAATCTTGCAAGGGGTGTTTCTTTGGGACACATGTTCACAGGAGAAAAATACCACATTTTTACCTGCAGAATTTCATTGTTGCCATCAGTCCTGGGACACCCTGTATACATAGCCGTTCCGTTGCAACACCACTAATATTTTTTTCCAAGTCGTCGAGATAGTCGCCGATTGCGCTCCAACCCAACCCGAGTACATACTGTTTAAATAGTAGCACACTTTTTTTTTCCAGTAGATATTCACATCTTATCATCTTGTTGATAAATTTTATATCGTTAGTGTTTACGATACACACGGTGTTTGTATGTGGACATCTTTTCTGTCGTGTAATACCGTACATAGGATTAACAGTGGAAGCGTCTCTTTCGGTATTAATGATTTAAAATGAGTGACAGGACTCCGCTTTTGTGTGACGATGACGATTACGAGTGGTAAGAAAAGTATCAGAATTGCTGTTTACGTTATAGCGCGAGAATAAGAAATTTGAATCGGACAAACCCGAATTTGAATCAGAAACAGAAAAACCCTCCTTGGTTTTGTAGAATGTGATATAAATATGTAGTTGTGGATATTATCAAGTAATGGTCTGACTTTTTTTGTGAACCTAAACTTTGCAGATTATTTTAACGAGATCAGGCGCCAGTGTAGGATGTAAATTTTAGGGCTCTATATACAGAGTAGGAAAGTATCGATGGTCTATCAGACCAATAAGAAGTGGATCTTATTTGTGGAAGGGCGAAAAGGGCGGTGACTATGAGACGCCTTCATTACAGCCTTCCTTCTCTATCGCATGGATTTCTATGGCTTACTTTATCGCTCTCACGTAACTTCAGATAGACCATCGGTACTTTCCTACCCTGTATATAAAAAACATAAAACTTTATTTGGTTATTCATTTGTAAACACGATAGAAATTCTATAAGTTCTCTAAAGAAGCTAAGATCAGCTTTAAAATCTTTAATATAAAAAATACTTAAAGTCTTTGATTTGGACCATGTAATTGATAATTACAAGTGGTTAGTTTGAATATTGTATACATATTAGATATAACAAACAATATGTTCTCTCTTGATGAAGAGATAAGTATCTAACAATGGCAGTATTTGAAGTTGGAAATTTTCATTTAAAATCTAAATCAGAAGACATATCTTTAGATAAGGTAGAATATATTTTGACAGTACCTATGTTACTGTTGACCTTACATTATACAATATTTTATTACATGTTCTATTTTTATTAGATTTATTTGGAAATACCAAAAAAAAGAAGAGGACAATACCTAGTTTGTTTCAATGTAGAGTAGACTTTATTTTTAGCGACGCCAGCAAGGATATCTTGGAATTAAGAATGTTTATGGAAAGAATTATGTATTGTTATTCTGTGGCTAAGTTATGAAACGGTGAAATCGCTGTTTAATTATTTTTGTCTTATGTAAAAGAGTTTTAATATTAAAAAAAATATGCATTATTGCCAACGAATATATAGGTTTTAGTTGAAATATGTGTTAATACAACTGTTTCATACTTATTATTAGTATATGTCTTATTTTTAATTTAAACTTACACATTTTTTTAGTAGTTTAATTTTAAATCTCTTTTTATCTCTAGTCTTTATAAAAGATATGGAGGATAAGCTGAAGCTAATTGAGTATGATTATGTTATTATTTATCTTTTCGTGATTTGATAAAAGCAGAGATTTTTTAGTCGCAATAGTCATATTTTACATGCAACATTTTTGTATCCCTTCCTTTGTTGGTTAACAATTTTAAACTTTATAGATGCCGAATCCAAGCAAATAAACATTGATTTTTTTCCGTGTTTCAAGTTTAAAGGAATTAAATATTCTGCACTTGTCTTCCAGTAATTCAGCAAAAAATTACGTAGTAAGGATTCCAATAAAATGATGATTAAGAGAACCATATTTCTTGGGTCAAATATTAATAATTAGCCCAGTCGGTGGAGACCCAGAAACAAGTAACTAGCAATATGTTTTTTTTTATAAGGACTTTAAAGTATGCAGATTAATATAAGAAAAAGTCTATCGATTTCCCAGTCCAAAAAAATTTTGAAAAACATTTTGATTTTCGAAATTCTTTAATATTTTGGACTGGGGTGAAGATGGAGAAAAATAATAAATACGGAACGAATACACTGAAAATAAATTTTTCGAGACAAAACGTCTGAACTGGTTCGGGCTGAAGCAGCACAGTATTGGGGATCATGGAGGCTTGCAAAAAATGTAATAAAATTTCCAGGGTCGTATTTAAAAAAATGAAGTTGATGGTCCTGGAGAGACGAAACGTTACATATAAAAATTGATTATTGATTATTATTATTATTATGATAGAGGGCAAAAAGTGGCCATGAAAAAGTGTTCTTCTTTTTTCAATATCACCTCAAACGAAGCTGAAATGAAACAAGAACGGATTTCCAAAATTTCTGTTTTTTTCAAATATTTCGAAAACTAATCATGTTAGCCTTGATTTTTAGAGGCATAATGTTGGTCCCCTGATTATGCAACTCTGCCCCCATTTAAGCTACTTCGTACCTCTTACCGTTTCCGAGATCCCTGTAGTGAGAAGCGAATTTGTAACAGCCTGTATATTCGAATCGAAAACCGAGCGTCTCAATGACAAATATACGTAAGGATAGTTCGAATATGATGACAAATATTCAAAGAATAGAATGTAATTAGTCAACAGGTATGAAAGTATCCAGGTAGGAAATACAGTATACGTGAAAATCTTTGTAATTTTGTATTTAATTTTTTTCCTATGATTTTGTACCTAATAAAAATATGTGTAAGTATATGATTTTGTAATAAAAATATGTAAATATTACCTTGTATTTACTATTTACTTCCTTGAGAATATTGGAAAATCTAAAAAAATGTTTGGAAAATTTTGAAATTTTTATTTTTTTTATTTTTTGCGTTGAATTAAGATCGAATATTTATTTCTACATATTAATGTATTCAATATTTGAGTGAAATTTGACAATTCTTACGTTTGAAGAATGAATTTATTTGCTTGTTTGTCCGCGGAAGATGACTTTATGGCTTTACTAATTTTTTTCTAACAAACCATAGCTCGGACGAAAAAAGTGCAAAGTATCTTTTTTGTAGGGAAAAACTTTTTCTACAAGATAAAATTTTTTTATTTTTCTCCATCTTGATCCCAGTCCAAAATATTAAAGAAAATCGAACAATTTTTTTTTTCAAAATTATTTTGGACTTTGGGTAATTGATACCAATGAACTTTTTCTTATATTAATCTGCATACTTTGAAGAACTTATTAAAAAAAAACTCCCATATTGCTAATTACTTGTGCTTTTGGTGCAAAATTACTTCCACTGACTGGGCTAAATAGGAATAAACACCAATTTATTTGTAAGTGTAGAAATAGGCACAAAATCATAAACACAATCTCATCTATTATTTGAACTTCTTGTATAATGGCGCCTATAGACAATTATTTCGTGGATTTATTGAACAATCTGACTTTGTCCGTTTTCGTACACCTAAGTACTACATGTTGATATAAGTAATATTTTATTAATTCCTGAATTCATTTAATATTACCATTTATTACAATCGATAATTCACAATTCATATTCATAATGATAATGAATTACGAGTCAATTGTACAGAATTTCCAAGAAAAATTAAAGCAATAAAACCTTTTAGTTTACTCTATGTTAAAAAACCATCAGTTTCTATAATTTTTCCTTAAATTCAGAACAATGGAAATAATATATAGATACACATATGTATAAAACATTTTTAATTTGTTTAAAATAAGCAGAATTTTTTGTTTATTACTATAATTTTTCTTTTTGTGGTCATGCGTATTTGGATACTACCAGTCATATCCATTAAATAAGAGTAGGTACTGAAATTTTTATAAATCGAAACGGCAGTATATTTATGAAAAATCCCTTTATGGTCCCAAAACACAGTTGCCATGATTTTTGGTGTTCACCTGGCGGGATTCGGAATAGTGGTCATTTCAACACGCCACTACAACAACAGATCTCAACCGACTGAAACAAATGAATGACAAATTTGCCTTGACTACAGTGTCGCCAACTTTGCCGAAAACAAAAACCACAGAGCACAGTCTCAGTACTCTTATTTTGTGAATATGCCTCGTAGTTCAGCAGTAGCTGGTGAAAATTAAAATGCTCACATTTTGGTGATAAAGCGAGGAACCATATCATTTTTTTGGAGATGATTTCTATACCAACATATTGAACTTTCATGACGAAAAAATTTAGACTAATCTAAGAGATATAACCTCCCGAAGTTACAAGTACTTAGAAAACACCCTGTGTAATAATAAAAATATTTTTATTATTATTGTTAACACAAATCATAGGTGTCACTTTAATTTATATCAGATTTCAGTATTAGCTTTAGCTTAAATGATATACTTATAGATAGACCCTAAATATTAAGTTTTGTTTATTAAAACTAGATAAAGCAACCATAAATACATCAATCAAGATTTTGGCTTCAGTGAGGAATAAAAATAAATATTTTGTCTAACAATCAGCATATTATTTAAAACAAAAATTTTATTTTATTTGCCCGCGTATTATCTATATCCGCCCAGAAATCGGAAACTTGTATGGGGAAGGAGCAGCATATTATTGTTATTATTATTAAGGCGAAATAACATTTTTGTTTTTCTAGGAATACATCCGATACATTGGGATTCGAACCGTTGATTAACCAGAAACATTCAGAAAATGAACGAATAACAACCTATTCGCCATCCTCCGGTGACTATTCCGGCAACTTAATAGATGCCGAACCTGAGGAGGGGGCTATCAGGGTGAATATAATTGGCATGACATGTCAGTCATGCGTGAAGAATATCGAGGAGACTATCAGTAAGAAACCTGGAATTTTTAGCATAAAAGTAAGCCCAACATTAAAATTTAATACATAGGAAAATGAAATAAGCATAAATAAAATCGAAGGTACAGATTGTGGGTGGCATATAACCTATATATTGTACACGTCGTACCTTAAATCAATGCCTACTGACACATAGCATTATTATTAGTTAAAATGTGTAACAGAAAAAAAAATGTTTTTGTCAGTAGTTCCGATTGTAAATTACTTTCTGTTTAAGGTTAACTTACAAGAAAAGTCTGGCCTAGTACATTACGACCCGAAAACTGTCACCCCGCAAGAAATATGTGACTATATAGAGGACATGGGATTCGAAGCATCATTGCCTCTGTTACACAGAAAGGACGAAACCAGCAAATGTGTCTTAGAAATCAAAGGAATGACTTGCAATTCTTGCGTACAAAGCATAGAAGGTAAAGCCTCAGTGATCAAAACCTTGTAATATTTAATTCAATTCCTATATATAAGCGCAAACAAGTTGATTTTTAAATTTGTTTCAAGGTATGTTGTCAACGAAAGACGGTGTGAAGACAATCAAAGTGAATCTTGAAAAGAAAGAAGGTCATGTACAGTTCTTTCCTAATAAAGTCTCGCCGGAGGAAATTGCGGAGCAAATAGAAGACATGGGCTTTGAGGCGTACGTTAAGTCTGTCAATGGTAAAAATTTGAAGAAGGGTAAGCATAGTTTTATTTGTGGTGGTTTAATTGCTATAACGGATTCTTTTTTCAGAAGTGAAACCTATTGCGAACGGTTCGACAAGCAAACAGACTGTATCGTTTAACGATGAAAATATTAATCTTAAAAAGTGTAATTTACAAGTTAAGGGAATGACTTGCGGGTCGTGTGTGGCCGCTATCGAGAAACACGTTCAGAAGATATCAGGTAAGTGTATTATGAGGGGCGTAATTTTCATTGAATTTATAGCAGTCTTTTAACGAGGGTCTTAAAATATCGTAGCAAGTTATAAACCATATCTCATCACTGTACCAGTTATACAACTTTTCTCCAGGGTATAAGAAAGTTTTTAAGCTGACAATACATTCAGAATAAGGAAAAAAAGCATATTTTTACTTTTTATGTTTATCATTACATTTCCTGAATATTACACACCTGTTGAATATCCTGAAAATCGCGTATGGTACTATAAACATAATCACACCATGTAGAATGCTTTTATAAAACTATTAATACATGAATTAATCAAGTAATCACAAATGAACAAAAAAGCTGTATATTACAGGGGCGTAAGATTAACTGTTTTCAAAATACAACAAGACTTGTCCTAGGGAAAAAATGTAAACAGCTATTATTGTGAAACATTTAGTAAATTTCAAGACAATTGTTTTCAGTTTTTAAATAAATAAAATAAAATGTATCGATTTTGTAATACGAAGATAGTGTTGTGCTTAAATTTTAGCTCGAATTTTAGTAATTATGAATCTCTTAAAACAGAAACTTACGAAGGTGGTCTGAAAAGTTTCCGACCTAACAAAGATACAAGACATTTTTTCACAATTTTTTTTTTTTAATTTTTCAACATAGTGTTGTAACTCTGCACACTTCTCCCAACGATGCTCCCATCTCTGTAACCTCCAAATAGTACTCGGCGTTTTCTCTGCAAAATAATTGTTCACGAAGGTGATTGCCTCTTCATTTGACGAGAATCTCTGTCCTCCGAGCGCAATTTTTAGATGAGGGAACAAAAAGAAGTCGCTTGGGGCTAGATTTGGTGAGTAAGGCGGATGGTCAAGCAGTTCAAACCGTAATTAGTGAATTTTCGCCATGGCAACCGCTGAGGTGTGAGACGGTGCGTTGTCTTGGTGAAACAGGATTTTCTTTTTCTGCAAATGTGGTCGTTTTTCTGCAAGTTCTGCCTTCAGCATGTCAAGTAATGATGCGTAGTATGCTCCTGTAATGGTTTTTCATTTTTGAAGATAATCGATTAAAATAACTCCATGGCTATCCCAAAAAAGAGTCGCCATCACTTTCCCAGCTGAAAAAACAGTTTTTGCTTTTTTTGGAGCCGGTTCCCCCTTTGCAGTCCACTGTTTGGACTGTATTTTTGTTTCGGGTGTATAATGGTGTATCCAAGTTTCATCTACAGTAATTAATTGGCGCCAAAACTTGGATTCATTGCGCCTAAACTGTGCCAACAGAGCGTTGGAAATGTTCATTCGAACACGTTTTTGGTCTAATGTGAGCAAACGCGGCATCCAACGTGCGGTCAGCTTTCTCATGTTTAAATATTGATTTAATATGTGACAAACACGTTCTTTTGACATGTTCATAACCTCTGCTATCTTTCTCACTTTAATTCGGCGGTCGTCTAGCACCATTTGGTGAACTTTGGCGATGTTTTCGTCGGTAGTTGCAGTTTTTGTACGTCTCGAACGTTCATCGTCTCCCAAGCTCTTACGGCCACGTTTAAATTCAGCTGCCCAAAATTTCACTGTGGTAAACGATGGTGCAGAGTCCCCATACACAGAATCCAACTCATCGTTGATTTGCGTAGGCGTATTGCCTTTCAAAAACAAATATTTAATGACAGCTCGATACTCCATTTTGTCAATTTTCATAAAAACACTCACATCAACTCATTCAAACGACTGTTACATAACAACTGCACGTCCAAAATGGCTGAAATTTTGGTGAGTAACTGTCAACAGATGAACAACGAAATTCACTAGTTTTTATTTACGAGTGCTGCCATCTTCATGTTGAGGTCGGAAACTTTTCAGACCACCCTCGTAACTTTTCATCAAATTATGTATTTGAAAAGTATGTAATTAAAGTACCCAAAGATTCACATCGTCCAAATAATCATATGTATTTAAAATAATTTAGGTATTTACCAAAAAGCAAAATTCAGTAATTTTTAAACGTCTATCACCATTTTCGAGGCATACACGACACCCTCGAATCCAATTTTCGTGCACTCGTTGGAAAACACTTCAAGAAAAGGAAATAGTGGTACGCAAAAAACACAGCGACACAGTCGAATCCAGATACCAACTGAATTGCGTATTGGTGGTTGCTGGACACCTTAGTGCCTCGTGTTAATAAACCGCCGCGCCGTTGTCACATATGAATTTTATTGAATTTTAAATTTATTACAACTCTAATTATTTTTTAAAATTAAGTATAAAGAAATTCAAAAAAGTGATAAACATTGTATTTTATGGTATTCTATTTGATAATTTTTTTCTCGGAAATGGTTGAGTTTAGGACCCATGTCATATAAAGTTTTTTTGTTTATTTTAATGTATTCTATCGTCTGTTAAAATTAAGGCAGTTGAACTTCTAACACCCTGTATATTTTTAATTTATTTCAGGCTGCCAAAAAATATTAGTATCTTTACTAGCGGCTAGAGCTGAAGTGCAATACGACCCCTCACTGGTAACCCCCAACGACATAGCGGCTTCCATTTCGGAACTTGGCTTCCCGGCCTCGGTCCTGCAACAGACCGGTGCCGGCGAAGCCGAAACGGACCTGGAAATCACAGGTATGACCTGCTCCAGCTGCGTACACAAAATAGAAACGAGCGTCACCAGACTTCCCGGGGTCAGATCCGCCCAAGTAGCGCTAACTACGCATAGGGGTAAATTCAAGTACGATCCGGAAGTTACCGGTCCGAGGGACATCATAGAGGCCATAAAGAAGCTGGGCTTCGACGCTCAACTCTTCACCCGGGACAGGGGCGACAGTTATTTACACCAACGGGAGGAGATAAAGAAGTGGAAGAAGTCGTTCTTCTTTTCGTTGGTGTTTGGCGGCCCCTGTATGATCGCCATGATGTATTTTATGGTGATGATGTCCATGCACAATATGTCTAATGAGGATATGTGCTGTTTGGTGCCAGGTGAGTAAAAACTGTTTTTATTTTCGTTTATTCTTTCAAGAGTACCGATAAATAGATTAAAGACTTCCTGCACGTTATTTTGCTTGCAAAGTAAATTCTAGTAAACGTTAAGTACATCATTGTTCAACTTGTACTAACATAGCTTCAACTGATTTATTTCTAGGCTTGTCCTTAGAAAACTTCATAATGTGGGCCCTTTCTACGCCTGTCCTCATTCTGGGAGGCCGTCACTTCTTCATCCAAGCTTACAAAGCTCTAAAGCACAGAACCACCAACATGGACGTACTTATAGCAATGGCTACTTCAATCTCGTATACTTACAGCGTCATAGTGGTGCTCTCCGCTATGATATTGCAACAGAAAACGTCGCCGCAAACCTTCTTCGACACCCCTCCTATGCTGTTGGTTTTTATCAGCTTAGGCAGGTGGTTGGAGCACATAGCCAAAGGGAAGACTTCGGAGGCCCTCAGTAGGTAAGTTAAAAGTGTTAGTTGTGTGTGAGCAGAGCGTTTTGTGACAAATACACTCAATAGGTTACTGTCCTTGAAGGCCACGGAAGCAGTTATTGTCAGTTTGGGCAAAAACGGGGAAATAATCAGCGAACAACAAGTGAACGTGGATCTGGTGCAGAGGGGAGACGTTCTGAAAGTGGTTCCGGGTGCCAAAGTACCTGTTGACGGGAAAGTGTTACAGGTACGTTAATCGGTACAACTTGTATCGTGTACCGACTGGACATTCTCTTTTCAGGGACAATCGATGTGCGACGAGAGCCTCATCACAGGAGAGAGCATGCCCGTGCCAAAAAAAATCGGCAGCTCGGTGATCGGCGGTTCCATCAACCAACACGGGTTGCTCATCATGGAGGCCACCCACACCGGCGAAGCTACCACCCTGTCGCAAATCGTGAAATTAGTAGAAGAAGCACAAACGTCGAAAGCACCTATACAGCAACTAGCGGATAAAATCGCCGGGTACTTCGTCCCTACGGTGGTTCTTTTATCCCTACTTACGCTTATCATATGGTCGATTATAGGGGCGATAAACATCAACAACTTGCCCATAAAGGAATCCGAGAAAGAAGGGTTTACGGACACCGAGGTCATCCTGCAATTCGTGTTTAGGTGCGCGCTGAGCGTGCTGGCGATAGCTTGTCCTTGCGCGCTCGGTCTGGCCACCCCAACGGCTGTTATGGTCGGGACAGGTAGGTTTTAGCGATTTATCTTGTTATATTAAACCATGGAAAGTAAGAAATGACAAGTGCAAGCATATTGAGAACTGCTGGAATCGAGAGGGAATGACAAGTACTGAAAATAAATTTCCAACTTTATGAACACTATTTATAACACATGCTTAACAAACAATTTTTGTAGGTGTTGGCGCTATTAACGGCATCCTAATCAAAGGTGCAGAGCCCCTCGAAAACGCCCACAAAGTGAAAGCTATAATGTTCGACAAAACGGGAACGATAACGAAAGGTCTGCTCGAAGTGGCTAAAATCTGGATGCAATCCGACACCCTAGGCCCTGCCGTCATTCTCTCGGCCCTGGGTTGTGCGGAAACGAACTCGGAACACCCAATCGCCAACGCCATAATACGGTACGTGCGTGACACTCTAGGATGCGATCTGACAGGCAGCACCACGAGTTTCCAGGCCGTCCCGGGTTGCGGGATGAAGTGTACAGTGGCGAACCTAGCGGGGATAATAAGGAATGCGAAAAACAATCAGGAGATAAGCAATTTTTCCTCCCTGGTGAACGCGGGAAGTTCCGGACTGTTCACGCTCAATGGGGTTCAAGTCGAGGTAATGCACACGCAAAATATGAGGCTCGGGCAGCTCATCGGGATGACCCCCGCCGAGGAGAACGGCGATGGGGAGTACGATGTTATCGTGGGCAACAGGGAGTGGATGAATAGGAACGGCTTTATCGTGACCAGTGAAGTTGACAGAGAGATGGCAGCGGAGGAGGAGCAGGGAAGGTCTGCTATATTGTGCGCTATAAACGGTGAGAATCTTAAATTTGTTAGAATTTAAAAAACGATGGTTTTTCGATGGTCGTCACCAGTTACCTTTTACTTCCTTGGGCATCTTTGACCTGCCCTTGTTGTTCTCGGGCTAAACTCTGTGGGGGCAGGCTCGCTATTAGAACCCCTAGTCCCACCCAGATGTTCATTTCGGTTCTTAATGGGTCTAAGACGCTTCAGATGGAACAGAGGACTATTCCTCAATCGCAATGAGGCAGAATCACTACTGAAGATGCCGGCAGCGAAGAACGGTGAAACTTGCGGATGCGATCAGTTGCAGGGACCTCTAGGAAACATCTCGGGATTGCCTGAGGAGCCTTAAACCCAATGAGAACTGAAATGGACATCAGGGTGGGCCAAGTTGTCTCCTGTCTTGATGTTCTCTATCCCCACAGAGTCTAGCCCGAGGACAGCAAGGGCAGATCAAAGATTCCCAGCTATGATTAAGGAAGTGAAAGGCGTACCGATCCTAAAAACCGTTATTTATTTAGGTAACATCGTTGCGATGTTAAGCGTGGCAGATACCGTGAAACCAGAAGCGCATCTCGCGGTTTACACGTTGAAGAAAATGGGATTGGAAGTGATACTCTTGACGGGCGATAACCGTCAAACGGCAGCGAGTATAGCTAGGCAAGTGGGGATAAACAAAATTTACGCGGAAGTGCTTCCTTCGCATAAAGTCGCCAGGGTTCAAAGGTGAGAGCTCGATTCCGTTTTTCGATCAAACCCTCATATTTTCACGTCTAATTCCAGGCTGCAAGCGAAAGGAATAAAAGTTTGCATGGTCGGCGACGGCATAAACGATTCCCCGGCACTCGCACAGGCCGACGTCGGGATGGCCATAGCTGCGGGCACAGACGTGGCCGTCGAGGCCGCTCACGTTGTACTTATGAGAAACGATCTCTTGGACGTAGTCGCCTGCTTGGAACTTTCAAGAAAGACTGTTAATAGGATAAGACTTAACTTTTTGTTTGCCAGCATGTATAATCTCTTAGGTAAGTAAGGGTAAGTCTGTGTCGTAACACGGTACCATTTTCGTATCTGATTTTAGGTATTCCCCTGGCGGGCGGCGCGTTCAGTATGATAGGGTTCATGCTGGCCCCGTGGATGGCCAGCGCCGCAATGGCTCTCAGTTCCGTGTCCGTGGTGGGATCCAGTCTGTTGCTCAAATTGTGGAGGAAGCCGACAAAAGAGCAGCTGGAGACCCCCGAATATCTCGCTAGTAAAGACAGCGATTCCCTTGATGCAATTTCGATACACCGAGGTCTAGACGACATCGAGCAGATAAGCGGCAGCCCCTCGACGTTGTCAAGGTACCATTCGCAATGTGATTACTAACTCGTACGAAATTGATAGCCAATATTACACGTTTCGGAAAATTTCGGTATTTGTAATTAAATTTTGATTGAATAATTTGGATATGGGATAAAAGGTTTAATTTATTTAATATTTTTAGATTCAGTTCAGTGTAGTATCGTTCTTCCAAATTTTAAGTTCACATGAATAATGAAAATAGAACAGTATTACACCATATTCGAACAAAGTCTGTACGATACATTTGAAAAAGTATTAAAAGTGGTACCTACCTCTTTTGTATTTTATAAAACTATTCAAATAGTTCAGATCATTAAGTTATGAATTTTGCAGTTCGAGTAATTCTTGAAATTATTAAATATTTCTACCTTGGTCGTTCGAAAGAAATTGCAAAATATTTTCAAGAATTACATCGTTTTTGACTATATTTTCCAAGGATGCTTGGGGATTTCAGATGACTTTCAAATGTAGATTTGAATGAAAGTGTACAAAAATGAAAGAGAACCTAGTGAGTATTTTGAGTTCTTTGCCCCTTTTTTACATTTTCCAGCTTCTTCAGCGTATACTTTCGTTGTTGCTGCATGTTGTACATATTTTTTTATTTATTTGTGATATTGAAGAGTTTTATTTTGTTTTACAATTACAGCATGATTTTTTTACGTTTTTTATTTTATATGTGTGTGATCGTCTCACCCTTCCCCCCCTTCTTCATTAACACCCACCTCCCCCACCCCAAAAAAAACATTTTGTATAAAGTATAACATAACCAACCAATCATATGCTTTTAAAAATGCTATCATCAATTTTTTTAGACTGAAACTTGCAGTCTTTCATCAGTAAATCTGTATATTATAAATACTTATCCTCTATAATAAAACATTCAATTGAAAAAGATCGTCGCAGCAAATAATATCTCATTTTTATAAATTCTCTTAAAACTAATGGCAGTTCAATTTAAATTCTAAAATCTTTTTAATAATTTTAAATTCTCAATTTTATTTTCGATTTGTAGATTTTCGTAGATGCGTTTTTGTTAAATCGAACACCTAAAAATATCTATTTCTTTTTAAACATTTGTAGAACTAATTCAAAAGGCAAATTGTAAATTTTTCAGTCAGGACTTCAGATTTTACATTATTTTAGAATATATTTGCATTCTGGAAAATAAAAAAATATATTAGGTATATGCATTAGGGTTGCCCAAAATAAACGAATTTTTTTTTTCGTGTTGTGAAAATGTTAGTTTATCATGTTTTAACAGCCCTCAAAAAATCAGCTTAAAAAAAATTTTTTTAGAGGTCTCAAGATTTTTAAAACCAAAATCGTCAAAAATTGAATTTTTTTTTTAATTTTTTTTCTCGATATTTTATCATTTTCTAGGTTGAAAAAAATCTTGATTCTGAAAATTTCAAATCGATATTTTCTAAAGGTCAACTCATAATTATTTTAACTTAAAAAGTAGTGTATTTATAATGTTTTCGAGCGACGTTTAAAAATAAATATCAACGAATTAATAATTTTTTTTATTGAATTTGATGAACAAAAGAAAAAAAATAAATCACGACAGTTAAAAAATTTCTCGAGGAAAAATTTACCACTGCACTGTGAGTCAAATATTTATAATTTTTTAAAATTTAAGGGTCTCGTGATTTATTTCTATTCATTTGTTCATCAAATTCAATAAAATAAAATTATTAGTTCGTTGATATTTATTTTTAGAGGTCGCTCGAAAACAGGTACACCTTTAGAAATTAAAATATCCATTTGAAATTTTCAGAATTGAGATTTTTTTGAACCTAAAAAATGATAAAGTAACGAGAAAAAATATTTTAAAAAAATTAAATTTTTGACGATTTTGGAAATTTTTAAAAATCTTGATCGACCTCAAAAAAATTTTTAAGCTGATTTTTTGGGGGGGCTCTTAAAACAGGATAAACTAACATATTTTAACAAGAGACACGAAAAAAAATTTTTTTTTTGGGCCACCCTAATATGCATATACAGGCTGTCACGCTTAAATGTGATACAAGCCTGTAGCTTCTTTGTTTTTGACCGATTTCAAAATTTTTTTTTTAGAATGTAGGATAAAAAACTAATTAAAATGCTGCTGTTTTTATTAATGCAATTCACGGCCAACTAGGACGCGTTTTTTTGACGTCAAAAGATATATTTTCTCATTCAGCATCCCTTAAAATGTTTTATCACCAAGTTTCATCAAATTCAATACATCTTCAGACAAGCACTAGTTGCCCGTGTATTGCATTAATAAAAAACAGCAGTATCACAGTCAGATAGTTTTTTTACCCTACATTTCATAAAAAAAAATTTTTAAAGCAGCCAAAATATGAAGTTACAAGCTTATATTACATTTCACGACATCATGGAGTGGTTATTTGGAAAAAAATCTAATACCAATCAGCTATTTTGATGTCAAGAAACCGTATCCTAGTTGGCTGTGAATTGTATTAATAAAAACAGCAGAATCACAGTTAGATAATTTTTTTACCCTACATTCCCAAATAAAAATTTTTGAAATCGGCCAAAAAATAAAGAAGTTACAGGCTTGTATCATATTTAAGCGCAACACCCCATATATATGTTTTTTTTACTCTGTACCAACTGATGAAAATAAATTGGTCATTTTGATAATAAAGGTTGATACCCATACCCCATACCATTTTTTATGGTATAATTTCTACACCCACAAACAATAGTCTTAAGAGAAATATTTGTAGAAGAAATTTGTGAAATATTTCTTTTCATAATTAACTGACAGCCATTTTTTTTATTTTTCTCAAAATTTTAATTTTTCATAAAATTTGCATTTTAAAGTTTGAAAAGTAGAATGTTATTATAAAATTAAAATAGGTACCTGTAACTACATACAAAATGTAATTTTATCTTATACAGAGCCATAAATGATTACAAGCCAAGTGACCCGTAATTTTATTTGGAACAGTATTTTTATTTCCGTTATATTGGTAATTAAATTTCAGTAGAATTTTTAAAACAATTTACATTAAAACGTAACATTACGTTTTACTGGCTGTGATTTGTGTAAATTTCCAAGATATTCTATTCAACCAATCAGCGATCTCACTATCTCGAGTGTAGATGTTAACGGTTTGTTACTGTTCATGGTAAACGAATCATTAATACTGGCGACGCTAAGATTTAGGGATTTTTCATTACCAGTAAGAAGAAAATAAAAGATTACAAAAAATTCACGAAAAATGAACTGTATGAATCATAACAAATAACCTATTTTATTTACCAAGTAAAAGAAACCGACTTGGTATGAAAAATATTATTTTCATTGTAACATTGAAATCTCTATTACTTATTAACACAATTCAACCATAGAACATTGAATTAAGTAAAGAAAAATAGTTTAAAAGCATATTATTTTTTTTGCAAAACTTTTTGACCGATAACCATTACGTTTTTATTGAAAATTCATACCAAAAGGAACCTCAACAAATTCACATCAGATTCTAAGAAGAAAAAACTCTATGAAACCGCATTTATGTAGAAAAAATAAATAAATCCATTTTGTACGTAGTAGAAAAGACGCACCTAGGTAAAAAGAGTTGAAAATTAAACAGTATCAAGATATGACGAAAGTAAATAAACGTATCGACAGATTTTTTCTTTATTTGAAAACTAAAGAAAGTAATAAAAGTAAAAAGGTACAAACTCAATTGAGTAATATTTTAATGGTTCATTCCATTTCAAGATTCATCATGTGGAAACGGTGATACGACGTGCAAACGATCTGTTTAATATCGGCTTAATATTAGACAACTAGCTTAAGATAGCAAACCAAGAGATGACAGTTCTATGTTCATATGTACTTAATTCAAGTACTTACTATTGAAAATTCCAGTAAAAGATAATCAAAGCAATAATGTAAATCAGTGAATGTATTTATGCTGTCGTATTCAATTGTAAGGTTCATGAGTGTACTGCATGTATTTATTTACTCTTCATTGCGTTTTGACAGTTAATAAACTATAACAAAGTGTGTAGTTTCTTCCTTTTGGTTATTTTATTGGTTTTTCTAATATTCTTTTATATGTTTTATTTGATATTAATTAATTTTCCTTAATTATTGTGTGATTCAAAATATAACAGCATTTGATGCTTACAAAAAATGTTCGCACAATGAAAATCATTGAGGATTTTATTTTTCAAGCTACCTTTCGTCTTCGGAAGATTAAAATTAAATGTCGGAAGAATCAGTCAACTTGGTAGGTAGTGTGAATAAGTTTTTGCTTGAGTTTTTTGTTTGGTTGTGCTATACCAGCCGAAAGTTTTGTTTTTCGATAGTCTTTAAGTTCTAACAAATAAAGTACCCCTGAATGATTATTTCTAATTTCTGAGTGAGTTTTTTCGAAGTAATGTGCAGAGTTCGGGGACATGCATCAAATCGGTTGACTAATATAAATACTAACATGTTCACAGAAATATGTAAATAATAATATCTCTACCCCTCATTCTAATCGTAAGGATTAGCCCAGAAGTTGGAAACTTGTGCGGCATATTATTATTCAATGAGGATCGCATCCATGACGGAGACATTCATCGATTCAAGTACTAACACCTCGAACCGCTCGACCACCGGTTGACCGATCGATTAGAGAAATTTTTATTGTCATTGGTTATATTAGAACATATTACTATACACATTTCTAAGTTTTCTGGATACAAAATGTCTTACATTTAACAGTAATAACAATTCAGCGTCCACTTTTACAGAAGTCGATATGCTAAGCTATTAAGGCATGAATTATACTATTTGGTCGTAACGCTTTATGTTTCCCAAAATGTATCCTGAATTTTTTCCGACACTTTTGTGTTTTTTCTTTTCTCGTCATATTGACTGGTCTGCATATACACGCTTTTTTATATCCCCTAATATCTTGTGGGTACGCATGTTCGCAAGTGACCCATTTTAAGTATTACGTCAAGAGCACCAGCCTGTCCGGCCTAATGGCTGCAAGGACAAAGAACAGATGCGGGACGCGCCAGGGCTCCAGGAAAGGTCCACGTCAGATTGGCACCAGCGACGAGATACATATACCTGCGAGCGACTTCACAACGGGACTCTCCAGCGAACGCTTGCTCCGACAACATTTCTTCTCACTAAACTTGGTTTTCAATAAAAATACTTTTATTTTACCGTTTAGAGAGAGTTTCATTTTGCTGCACACCGAAAGCAACCCTCAACCCATAATAGCGTTTTCAATTTGTTTATTGCGGTAACTAAGAAACGTTAATATGTTGCATATATCATCATGATATTACACATTTCACCATGAATGCTTTGATTCTGACTAACCGCCATGAACATCTAGTAAACAACTGAAATGAAAAGTGGAACAGTAAACCCAATACAACTCTAATATGAGCCGCATGTCCCCAACTCTAATAAATAATAAGTAATGTACATATTTAGACCTTTGGTCTTGTTATGACTTGCACATGCTTTATTTTTTTTGTTTGAGATTATGAGCTTTTTTGTTTTTATAATTTTTTGCTGTTGCGTTTTGTCTCTGTTTGTTTGTTCGTTTTCAATTAATGATATTGTGGGAAACAACCACTCCGCAAGCTGTATGCCCCACCTGGCATTAAATTACACCACCAATATTTAGTAAATAAATGATGTTTCCATTTTGGCGGTGTTTATTTATCGGCATTGTGTTCACCAAAAAAAAAAAAAAACATTTTCTTCGTAGTCAGTATAGTAGCTATAAGGTTTTTATATAATAATTTAGGGAGCTAATTTTTTTTGCAGATTTCTGGGCAAGAACAGACCTGGTCGAGAACTGCTTCTTAACCACGACGAGGAAGAACCAGGCATTTCTTTCAGCAAAGGAAAGTATGATGTCAGCGAACCCCTCATGTAAAATCCTTTATCTCTGTTAATATTTAAACACTAGGCAAATTAGTCATATCAGGGTTGAATTAAAAATAAAACAATTCCATAAGTTTACCATTACACTAGTACTTAACATATTACTTCCAGTCCAAAGGGGTGACTTTTTAACTCTCGGACGCATATTTTCTATTTCGATTTAATTTATACTTACTCGATATACATGTACGTTGCAATACGTACAAAATATATAAATGAATCCTGGTGCAGAATTGAGGAATCTCCTATGTTATTTTGTGATAATTTACAAGTAATAAATGTATGAAAACATATCTGCCTTTATCGTTTTATTTCAGTTCTTTAAAAGGAAAAATTTGATAACAAACGTTATGGAGAAATCATCACCCACCAGGATGGTGTGGATTGCTGGTTGATTGGTTATTGGATTGTCGTCTTTTTTAACTTGCGCATGATGTGTCATATAACAAGGTTTACTTTCTTTTTTAAAAATATCAAGTTATCCATTTTTTAAAACAAAACATGTAACTATAACCTCAAAATTTTGACAGTTCAGGGGTATATTTTTATAGATGATGTCAAAGTTTAGATAACTAAAATGCAATTTAGAGGAACGAGATATGTTCAAGACGTATTGCGTAACTTATCTGAATTTGTTTTATGTGAAAATTGCATTTTTAATTATCTGAACTTTGACATTGTCAATGAAAATTGAACTAAACTGTCAAAATTTTGTTTATAATTAGTCGAATGTTTTGTTTTCATAGCACTCTTTACAAAAATAGATAATTTAGTACTGACGACATCATCGTAATCAGAAAAATGTGCTGAAGAAAAACAGAAGTTGCATATCATTTCCCCATTGTGGTATGAGTCATAATTAATACTACTAGTTACCTGAATTACCCAGAAAAAAAAATGTCCCAACAACGTCTGAGTTTATAAAGTTCAGCTCTCCGTTTTTGATTTTAAAAAAAGAAAAACGAGCACCTAAATTTTTAATTTTTTATGAATAACCCTAAACGAAATAAGGTAGGTCAAATGTGTCATTAAATTCCATAACTTTACCCTAATTTCAGCGATCTTGTACTTTTTAAGATAACTAATAAACGGTGCGACTCGAACAACGGGCACATTCTTTATTATTTAGAACTAAAATGTGTTTTTATGAGTTTAATTATTAGGAATGTTAAGGATATCGGATGCATGGGATTGTCTCCATTGAAAAACAATATATTTTTTATTAAAAATTGTACTTCAAAACATCTAATAAAATATTTACTAATAAAATTTAATATAATAATTATTGTGGTATCAAAGTTGCTGAAGTATACTTAAATATTCTACAAAGGTAACGCCAAAAATATACAGGGTGTTACAAATTAGTATGTCAACACGTTAACCACATATTCGTTGGACTAAAATAATTTGACTTCTCTTATGTCACTGTTCATTTCGGAGCCCCATTTTCAAAATACAGGGTGTCACAATTAAAATTTAAAAAATGATTTCTATTAATAACTCTGGTGATTGCAGAGATATTTATTTGAAATTTAGCACATATTTTGATCTTAAGTCGGCACCCATTTTATGTAATTTTGGTTTAAAATATCAAAGTGCAAACGGAGGGGAGGGGAGTTGCAGTACCCATGGAACCCTATTTTTTTAGTACGCCTATTGAATACAATAAAATTGATCATCATGATCAGCGATATTTAATTTCAGCTAAATCTAAAGTCTAAAAAAGTTGCACATCTCGTTCGTACAGCAAGCCCCAAATCAAAATATGTGGTTTCAGCCTAAAGTGCTCTTTGCCTCGTACAATTCGTTTCTTTAACTATTGTTTAATTAGTATTGGTACCATATAAAACAAATTTTTCATAAAATCCCAAAAATTAAAGTCCAACATCGACTAAATAGATGTCGCATATCCAAAAAAGTTACAATATCTCGTAAACGAGGCCCCAAATAAAAATCTTACAAGAGTGAAAAAAATATAATAAAATGTCGCTTTATCTAAAAAAAAATATTCGGAAAGTATAGGCGTACTCAAAAAAAAATATAGGGGGTCCATGGACACTGTAACCCCCTCCCCTTAAACCAAAATTACACAAAAAGTGTGCCAACATAAGATCAAAATATGTGCTAATTTCAAATAAATATTTCTACAATCACCAGAGTTATCAAAAAAAATCATTTTTTTAATTTTAATTTTGACACCCTGTATTTTTAAAATGGGGCACCGAAATGAAAAGTGGCCTAAGAAAAGTTCCATTATTTTAGTCCAAATAATAGTGGTTAAATGCTTGACCTACTATTTTGTAACACCCTGTATAATATAAACACATTTTAAATTAATATGCTATTTTTGAATAATACAAGAATCTCTCCTAAGCGATGTTTGGAATATATTTAATTTATTAACAATCATTGGAATTTAAATCAATATTTTTTATCAATAAACCATTGCTTTTTTTTTAAATCGGTTTGGTAATTAATTAAAAGTTAAAAGCTAATAATGAAAATGACAAATCCTCTGCAAGACTTATGACACCACATTTATAAAAACAAATAAAAACAACAAAAAATAATAGAAAGAAAAAAAGCTGATGTAACTTTTTGGCAGTTAAGGAAGAAACCAACGCCTGAAAGCAAAACCAATTTTTAGAAAATTAACCAATTTTGGCCAAGTTTCTAAAAACAAATACAGGATGGTATCTACTCATTTTCCATGAATATAAAAACAAGCAGTGTTTAAACGCTTATAATTTCTGCTACAAATAGGATTGTCAGATCTCTGGATTTTGATGGTACTTTTAGACATCAATTATACAACGCCCGATATTTCCTGATTGCATCATTTGCTTAACCTTATTTTTTTTATTCATCAATTATACAAACGAGTCACGTCTCCGAGTCTGTTATGAAATAGATCTGGTAACCCTAGCTACAAATCATACAGTTATACAGGGTGAGTCATTAATCACTATATCTTGACGTTAATCTGCCATTATGCTGTGTACCATTATTAATGACTCACCCTGTATATTGACTTGAAGTAGACCAAAACCATTGTTTAATTGAGAATTACTTAATATCGCTATGGCTTATTATCATCACATCCACATGCATAATGCAATTTACTTACCAACAAGGCTGCGTGTGTTATAAACTAAAAAAATTAGAGCCCCTTATATTACCATTACCGATTAGCAATGAAATCGTTATTATTCAAACTGCAGACAAATATTTTAATGTTTTTGTACTCTTAAAATGTTACATTATTCTACAGTTTACAAGCAAGCATAATACACAGTACAAGAACACATCAGAATCTACTCATGCTTATATGAAATTACGTTTTAGTTGTACCGCAAAAATTGATAACTACATTATATATAAAAAATTTAAAAACTCACCGAATTATATCTTCCTAGTTCGCAGGCTTCTCTTCTGCGTTTCGGCCTTAATTTTTACTGTTTTACTCCTCGTTTCGTAACTATCCCTTAGGTCATGTTCCTTTGCCTTGTTCTCTGAAATAGTCGCGAGACATATGCGTACATTTAATAAAATATTATAACGAGGAAAAAAAATACCTGGTTGAGTTAAATCTCCAATATGATTTTCCTTTCGACATTGCTCTTTAGATTTTTCAAAAATCGATTTATTTGGTCTGCATTTTTTGTTATACAATACTACGCAGGGTTTGTTGTCATTTTTTAACACGTAGTCAAGCTTTTCTCCCATTTTATCCAAAGGACTAACGTTTGAGTAATTGACCTCGTACGGCATGCTTGCAGTTTTATCAATCGATGCGTCTAGAATAAACATCGATGATGTAAAAACGATGGAAAAATTAATAAAGAGAAAACGTCATGTACAAATGCAGAAAATATTTAATTCAAAATTAAAGAATATATCATATGTATATTGGGCTGGGGATTGAGTAATGTCCGTTTTTTTTCAAATTTAAAAATTCACATGAAAATTAAACGCTTCGCCAAATTAACACGGCATTCAAAAGAGGACTTATTCTATCAGATTATGATTTTGGTTGATTCGTTAGATTTAATTTTTGTGAATTTTCATTCATTTGAAATGAAATGTCAAGTTGATAAAAATGATCATTTTCGGCACTCGCTTCTTTTTATTTTTAACCGAGACGGGGAAAACGCTAAAGCCACTCAAGTTGCTCGAGAAATTTGTGGTGTATATGGTGATGATGCAATAAATGAACGGACGTCCCATCGATAGTTTTCGTGTTTTCAAGACGGTGATTTCAACCTTAAAGACATGAATCGTTCCAGACGTCCTGTTGAGTTTGATGAAGAGCAATTGAATCGACTCCTCCAGGAAAATCCAAGACAATCAACAAAGGAATTGGCTCAGGAGATTGGACGTCATCACAAACAGTAGTAAACCACCTGCATTTGATGGGAAAAGCTCAAAGACTCGGTGCCTGGGCCCCACATGTTCTCAACGAAATCAGTAAGAACGTTCCATAATAAGGTACGGTTTTTTCATCATATTGTCACTGGTGATGAAAAATGGTGTCTGTAAGTGAACTTGAAATAACGGAAATAATGGTTAAGCCACAAAAAACAAACAACTCCTAGAACAAGACCAGAACTTCATCCTCGAAAGACAATGTTATACATCTGGTGGGATTGGAAAGGGATTCTTTATTTTGAACTCGTACCAAACAATCAAACCGTCAACACAGAACTCTATGTCGAACAACTATGATGACTCCACGCAGCTCTACAATGTTTTTTTGCAACATGACAACACACGTCCACATATCACCAATATAGTCAAAAGGGCTATTCGACAATTGAATAGGGAAGTTCTGCCCCACCCACCTTACTCTCCTCATCTCATGCCATCTGATTTTCACCTCTTCCGCTCTTTGTCAAATGGGTTAAGAGCTTGATTGGATGAATTTTTTGAGTCAAAACCGGAGGCATAAAGAGGCATAAAGAAACTTGTGAATGTTTTAAAGAGGTCATAAATAACGATGGATCACTGATTATTGATAAGCGTAGAGTTAAAAATAAAATATCTTAAATTCGATTCCCCAATCCATTAAAATTATACTTGATTGTTGATAAGCTTACATTTAATTTCTTTGTACTTAAATTTTCAGAGAAAAAATTTTGTTTTTAATAAAAAAAATGTATGTGATAAAAAAACAATGTGTACCTTTCCGACATTCTCTTGTATTGGACGTATTGATTATTTTACGGGATCTTAAAGGATATCTTGATGGTTGCTCCTGTATTATGGCATTTCTTTTCTCCTGTAGTTCATTGTCATCCTTCGTATTTGTTGCCCACATCTCTAAAATAAATATAAAATAATAATATTTTTACTTTTTTTTTTGGTATCAAATTTGATAGCTTTGGAAGTTGATAAATTGTATAACTATTTAGTTGTAAGAGTACCTTCATTTTTTTTCTTATTTTCAGAGGAAACAGATGATTTTTCTTGGGAAGGAATTTCCTCGAACTTATTTCGTCCATTTCTCATGTGACGTTTAATAAGTCTGGCGTCTGGTGTCTTTAAAACGACTCTTAGTGACTTATCGTTGATGTCTATAACACCGCTACAAGATTTCTTGCATTCTCTCTTGGAATTTAAAGCATGATGTTTACAATGTTCACTATTTTCCAAAATTTGTTCCTTCATTGTTTCCCAGTCCTCATCATCGCCACTTTCTATGTTTGACTTTTTGATATCGGAGGAAAGTCTTTCAACTCCACTTCTGACTTCTTTTTTAGCCGTTTCCTTCAGTTTGAAGGCTAAGGCGTTTCGTCTTGTGTTCACCATCAACGTCCGGTTTTTCTCGACGATTCCCAATAATTTGTTCATACGAAAAAGCGTTTTATGAAGCAGCTTGGTTGAAATTTTACTTGCATCTCTCAGAGCCATTTTGTGATAAACTTTCTTTGTTACAGATTTATTTGTCGGAGAGGTAGTTTTTGATCGATCAGTACTCTTTCTTTTGATACTTACGACTTTATACTTTAATTTCTTTTTTTCTTCTTTGGCAAAACTTTTTTCTATGACACTTTTAATGAATTTCAAATCATCGTGCATGTCATCCACTTCTGTTGTCACGTATCGATCTACTTCTTTTAAAACTAACTCAGTACCGATTTCTAGCTTCTCGTACAACTTCTTTAAAATCCCAATATGTTGCCTCAAAGAACTGCTGAGGTGTTTCAAATTTTCTTTGCCGGTTGCATCATTATCCGTTGCATCATACTGAATTGTTCTAGCTTTTTCTAATAACGTTAAGATTTCTTCTCTATTAATTTTATCGGTGGTAGCCTTTTGTCTTTCTTCATTCGAAATACTTTTATCTGACACATTCTCTTCTGAACCACTTTCAGTTTCGTTAGGATGTAAGCACTTTACTTGGCTTCTGTCGCAAGCACTGTACGGCGCAATGTTTACTTTGTTGCTATCAAAATTTACCAGTTCCAAGAATCCATTTTCTTTTATTAGTAGTACTGCAGTTTCATTTGAACTACTTTCTTCACATGTTGAATTACATAAAACTGTTTTGAGGTCTCCAGAAGAGTTGTCATGAATCCCAACTCCAGCAGAATTCTGGTTCTGAATTGAAGAAGTATTTGCTGCTTCTGTGCAGTTATTTACTTCTTGAAAAATACTTTCAATTGTACTATCTTTATTAACCAATCTCTGTATTTCCGTGCCTTTCGTATGTAGAGGATTTTCTATGATGCCAACGTGAGAGTTGTCTGAAAAATCTGAAGTTGTCTCTATATCCTCCGATTGATCGACATGTATTTCTGCCTCTAATATAAGTTTGGCCAAGATATCAGTTTTCTTTGTTTTCGCTTGAGTCATACTTTCATTTTTTTCTGTTTTGTTTTGATCGAACAATCTGTTTTCTTTGATTATGTATGTTATAGCATCTTCAAATCTTGCAGCATCTACACATACATTTGATAATGCTGGGGAGCTGACATTAATTTCATCAACTCTTTTTTGATTTTCTTCTTTTGTTCTATCAGTTTTATTCCCATCCTCAGTTTTACTAAAATCTTGATTGATCTCGGTGTGTTCCTGGCAATAATTATGATCCAGATTTTCTCCAGTTTGATTTACCATAGCAGATGGTTCCTTAGGACCTAAAGATTTATTTCTAATGTTTATCTCTTCAATAAATTCGTCCATTTCTTTCAAGATAGCAGCATCCTCATTTGAAATGGCAATTTCCTTCGCATGTATATATTTTGGGTCAACTTCCCACTTTTCCTCACAGTTGATATGTTTTTCTTCAGTATTTGCTTCATCTATTTTGTTAATTGTGTCTTCGTCGGTGTTATTAATAACCTGATTGGTATCATGAATTATTGTGGTGGAACCATCTTCGAAATTAATCTTCAAATTTTGAAATTGAATGTCTTTCATAGCAATGCAATCCAAAGTCTCTTTCTTCGGAACCATTTCCTGTTTGATACTAATTTTTCTGGGGCTTTCAAATATTTTTTCTGGAAGTCTCTTTAATTCTTCCCTGGTAAAAAGCGAGTACCCATCTTCCGAGCTGTCTGAAATCAGTATGGATTCTAAATGTCGCTGTGCCTCTTTAACTTCTTCGTTTATATCTTGTTCCTTATTGATTTGGTCTATAAATTCTTCTTCTCTTAGTTTGTATTCATGTATACCAGACGGTACTTTGGTAGGATCTAAAATTTTGATTTCTTGGTGTGTTTTTGGAGGAACATCAACATTTAAATGTGTTGTTATATCTCCAGCCCCAAGTTGAGCCTCAAGTGCAGGACCGTACTTTTTATCAATCAGTTCCATAATTTTCTCCTCGCTCGTATCATCATCAACGCTTACTATTTCATTTTCCACATCTGAAAATAAATGTTATACAAAATTTTGCAATTATAAAAAAGGTACTCACCGTTTTCTGTAATGCTTTTATTATTGGTAGAACTAGCTCTGGACAGATCAGCAAAATCGACAAATTTAGTCTTTTCTAGTCCTTCTTCTACGACTAAAACTTTCCTCTTGTATTTTTTATGTGGTGTCGATTTAATTTTATTGCTACGTGATGCCTGATATTTGCTCTTTGCTAATTTGAGAGGGAAGTATCGGCAACTTGCACCTTCAGTACCCTGAGAGGAGCTTGCTTTGACTTCGTTACATGCTTTTGAAATAAATGACACATTGTTGGCTGTAAAGTTCCTTTTGAGGTCTTGCAGCCTTTGTTTTTTTTGTTGAAGACCCAACTGCTTAAGAGAAAAAAACTCATTGGGTTTAAGCACTATCACCTTCCTGTTCGTGCTTTCTGCAATGTAAAAAAATTGCAGATTTAACAGGTAATTATATTAATGTTCTTCAGTGAAGAAGAGTACCTAGGTGTATATACAGCGTGGTAAAAAAGTTCTGCATAAAATTCATATTTTCGTTAAACAATTTTTTTTTTCGAAAAACGGTGAGACCCGTCGATATTTATTTGATCCAGGGCACCTTGTTATGTAGAAATTTTTTTTCAGCGATGACAATTTTTTTTTAAATGACAACGCATATTTTTTTCGTTCCAAATTGATGAAGTGATAATTATCTAAACAACGGTGTGAAAATTTCGATGTCTTACATAACAATTTTTTTTAGAAAAATGCACCTTAAGTTCTTGAATGCAATAATTTGCTGTTTACGGATCAAATGCCTTAGAAAAAAATTTATTCGGCAGAAAGCATTTCAGATAACTTAAGTTGCAACTGGTGTTATGTAATATTTGCGGAATTATTCATCAGATAT